TGCATTGTATTTATTACATCACACTTTAATATACAATTAATTAAAAAAGAGAATGCACAGTTTATTGTGTCAATCATTAATTGGCCAACAACACTTGTTCATTCAACACCCAGCTACACATCCAGTGAAATCCAGGGGCTACATTTGGAACAGATACCTGTTTGTGTAATGTCAAATGAGCCTACCTCTGATTGTGCACTGTTTATACTATTATAGTAATTAAATACATAATTACATCTCTTGTGTAGTACAACACATAATTCATTTTTATTTTGTATAATCCAGGCACCTCAAGACACATTGTTTGATTTACTTAAATGTGTGTTTAAAGTTTCATTCCAATCCAGCACCCAGCTATCAAATAAATCCTTTTGAACCATATACATGTATCTTGATGTTTGCGTGATAGCAGATTGTGCATATCAAAAACACTCATTTGTCAATTTGCTGAGAGAGATGCTTAGAAAATATAATTTTTCATAATTATAAATGTGTTAACTGACCTGGAATGGAAGTTTTAATAAATCACTCGGAACTTCTCTCAGATTTTTCCTTGGTACAACATCTACATTACCATAATCAACAAAGAATACCTCAAAACAAGAAGAAATGATATTGCATGAAAAATTTTCATAAAACAAACACATTCCTAATGAATATTCTGTGATTGTTGAAATTTAATAGTTGAAAAGTACAAAACAAGATGAATTCGTAGCTCTAGGGCTTGTCATTGATACTTACGAAATCATCAAATAATGATATGTCGGTTTGTAACCATATAACTCTTGGCTACTAATCAAGCTATTCATGTAAGAACATAGCAATATATATAGTCTGTAGTAAACATCTGTAAAAGTACATGCAATCAACATACTATATCCTACCTCAACAGCATCGCCATGGAGACTATCTATTCTGGCTCTGTAAAACTTCTGTTTATCCTCCATATATGGGGCTAGACAAATCTGGCCTTTACAGGCATCAACAATTGGCTGAAATGTCAAAGTATGAATTCCAAAATGTATAGTTTATATCTTTGCTACAGAAATGAGTCATAATATAAAGCTTATACAAATTGCATACATTTCTCGTCACTTTCACCTTGAACTACTTTCTCTTGATAGCTACTATATGCAGGATATAATTCTTGATTCTCCCAGCAAGTTCAGTTAAACTTTTCAAACAGTTGAAGATTGCATTAAGTTTCAAAATTGCATTAGACGAGAGATGAGAATTGATTTGATAAATTAAATATACATACTTGAAGGGAAATACTAAGAACACAGTGCAACAAACATTGAATTGCTCACCTTCAAATGAATGCCATCATACTGGTTAAGAGTGTCCATTAAATTACGTAGATTCTGAAAAGTAACTGCATCACCATAATGTGCCCAGAAATGATTAGCATCCACTACCTGTAACGAGAAATCATGGAACAAAAAATCATAAATGTATCTTGAAAAGTTGTGACTAGTATTCACATAGTATTGAAGTGCTAGACAACCAATAACAGAGTTGATACGGTCATACGTCAGTGATAAAGATTCAAAGAGTAGAAACACATTACATTACATTACCTCAGTAACAAATATATCAATCCAGTTGTTACCAGCTGCAGGAAGATCAACCTGCTTTGGTTCATTACCGTTGTCTGTTACCAGTCTAATTTTATTACTACCATCGGCTGGGTCTTCACAAAGCACACCCAACCTACAAATGATCATATATTAATGTGATATTTTACTTCAAGGCACTTTTCAACAGCCCATGTCCATGTTGTACAACCCATATATTATGTATGTATACGTATCTACCTCAAGGTTAAACTGATAAACTGTGTTGCAAGAAGATTGTACTGATGCTACTTCATTAAATGATATTATGTTTATGTACTATAATAAGTAAAACTATGAATGCCCTAGCTGCCTCAGACAACATTATTCTATATCTTTTTAAACACAGTGCATGCAAACCCCTTTTTTTTCCCATTGAATTAGATATGTCTGTGGAGGCATTCAGCAATGCTAAATGTTAAATATCATACATGTAGTCTAGCTGGTGGTAATTACAACACAAATGATATATTTTTTTGTGATTTAATCTCTCGTCATTGAAATCACAATAAACAACAAGGTAATTCAGTCACCTACTACTATTACCAGTATATCAAACTTTTATTGCCTTACAGACACATAATAAATTTAGTACTTAATGTAAGCGCACTGTATATAAGCTGGTATACTAGTGTTATTTACCTGTTAGTTCGGAGTTTATTTTCAGGACGTAACGTATGCGTATTCAACATCTTTTGATCAGCAGCAGATATCTCAGTTAACTGTAACTCTAATCTAGTTCGTAAATGCCTGATATTTTGGAAAAACGTAAAAAGTGTGGTTGTTATGTTCACATTAAATAGATTTGAAAGTTGAGACCAAGAGCTGTGTTCTCTTACTTACACCAAGAATTATCTATTCTGTTAACCCTTCAAATCTCATAATTATTATTGCCAATTAGTTTAACATTTTATGCATTTATATTGTCATTGCCATATTATTTTCGACACCCCAACATCAACATTGTCAGCTAAGTTGATGATTGGATTGCCATGATGTCTTAAGATTGTTGTGTGATATGGTTTGATCAGGCTATTTTCATAAATGTACATTCCAATGATGTATCAATCTCAGAACGTGCAGAGCAAATTAGTCAGCAATTTTTCTGGGGTCTGGAACAATATGCCAGTTATACAAAGTATTGACTTTCCTTTTGGCTACAGATCTTGATAAAAAATCATGCTCATTTATATTGCGACAGTTGACTTTAATTTAAATTCCAACTTTTCACCTTAATTAATCTAATCAGTTAAATATCTTTGAAATCACAACTTCCAAATATATTGAGACAAACTTGATACACAGTTGCCTTCCAGTGTACCCATGATTATACTGCAATTCAGACAAAATGACTTACCTCATTTTGACTGCCAAGTACACAGCCGGCAATATAGACTGTTCCTTAATTTCACGTGGTCGTTCAAATTCAATATAACATCTGTAATAAACAATGATCTATTATTACCAGCTTTTTGAAAAATACAGTAGTAGTCATATAGACATTGTTAAACAAGAACAAACAACAAATTGATTCTGACCTGGTGTCTTCAAAGTAGAGTTTGTTTCCTTTACCACAAGTTCTAAAGAGTGCAGCAATCTGGTTCTTATACAAGTGACCCATTGGTGGGACGTTCTTCACCTGTATATAGTATAATAGAAACATTGATACGACTACTGTATTTACTCTATTAGAAGCAAATCTCCAACAGTAGCACATGTGAACCAAAAACTCTGTTTGTTGTATGCTGAATTCTTAAAATATAACTTATTTTGACCATAGAAACACCTTTGTAATTGACATAATTGCATGCACCATTAGTAAAGCAAATATGGTATAATGGTATAAATTATTGAATATTGGCAAAGTGAAATGCTTCGCTGATATTGAAATGAAGTTATCCTACCATAACTGTAGAGGTTGGGTCCTTTCCAGACAAGGTCCTCAGTGCTTCAGCTTCATCAGGTGGGCCACACTGGAAGTAGTTTGGATAAAATGCTCCACAAATCACCAACTGTAATCCAAATAAAGTACAATGGAGTTTTTAGAAATTTAATTGTTATTGATAAATATTATATTTAATAACTGTATTTAGTTATTCAATGGCCATGAGCCAGCCATGTCTGATAGTTTTGGCAAACAGATGTTTCAATGGCCACCAGTCAGCCATCTGAAAGCCATGTCAAAAAAAAGAATTGATATTTCCATGCCTACAAGTTGGCCATATCTGGTAGTTCTGGCGAACAAAGATGTTTCAGTTTCAGTAGGCCACCAGTAGGTCATCTATGTGCAAACAAAAAAGTTGGCATATGTGATGTTATCAATTCTTGTCTTCCTTTTTTCAAGTTTAATTCAGTCCATGGAAGGCAATAAAACATTGGTCAATCTATTAGTCTTTAATAAACAGTTTTGTAACATTAAATACTTGCCTTCAATATCAACAGATCCTGGGCAGCATTGGTGGGGGTTTTGGCTTGTTGTTGTTGATGACCTAGATTAGGACCATGACGTGGTACTTTGATATTATGATTTGCAAGTCGTTCTTTCAATTCTTTCACAGTTTCCGCAACCTAGCAGGGCGAAGAAGTCAGGTAACCATGGTAATCATATAATGCTATAATGCTTAACATCATCACATGACTATGGTGTATATCATTCAAAGTAGTGATATTTTATAACTGATATTTCACACTAAAAATGGCAATTATCAGTACTCTGTAACAGTATGTGGAGAAAACCAAATCGTGTAACATGAAATATTCAGACTAGGCAACAATTACTTGAATTGTGCAATCAAAATAATTCATAATAATGACGCCTGAAAGTTTATTTTTCAAAAAATATCACTAAGAAGGGGAACACTTTTGGTGATTTTGAAAAAAACCATCAGCAACTGTAAGTGCAGATGCCCATCTATCACAGACACCATGCGTATTAGCATATGATTCATAGACATAGTTCATTAAAATCATGATTTCTCTCTTGTTAGTCATGTGATAAAAACTTTATCACCTGATGTATCACTTATTCGTAAAGCTGGATGATACTCATGGCATCATAGGGTGCCATATCTATGAGTCGAATACCAGTCCACAATATCACTTATATCAACCAGTTTCCATTAGGCCAAAAAAAACAATAACTTATGGAAAATTGAAAAATTGGATCGGTTGGTTGGATTTTTTTTTTTAAACTCGTAAAAACAAAAGGTATCATAAATAGCCAAGGTATATGGGGAAAAAAAAGTGGGCAAAAGCTGAGGGCAACAAAGCAATTTTTTGGGGGGGCCTTATACATGAACCAGATAGAGTTTACTTACTTTTCGAATCCTCTTCAACTGTATCATGTTTTTCCTGCACCACGTCAACTCAGCCTGTGAGGTGATAATTCAACATGAGAGAAGAGTTTCCACATTAAACTAGACTACTACTAGACAGTATTGACTATTGTGTACATTAATTTTGCACCATGACCGTCTTGAATTGGTCTGTTAGAATTTCCATGGCTACAAATCCTATAACTTATGGTCAAAGTTATGCAACATAAATTAATCGCAATTCATGCGGGTGATTTATGCCATAACAACCACATGACCATGACTTGTATCTATATACATTATTGATATTAAGTTGGGTTAAATCAACAAATTAGTTCACAACAAAGATGAAAATGATAAATTAAGACAGATACGTACAGAACCACTTCGTCTAAATTCACCACGCCAATTACATCCTTCCCACATCTTGTAAGCATTCAACATTGCAATACAGTCACTAAAGGAATCGTTTGCCCATGTCATCTTAGATCTGTGAAGAGAAACTCACAAGAAAATCTACATATCATTTTATTTTAATTAAATTCCAGCCAGGTTGGTAGGATAGCCATAGCCTTAAGTGTATTATATTTCTGTACGCTATTGAATTTTCTCGTCATATATCGGTAGACAAATGATTTTCCATTAATGGTCATACATGGTAATGACAATTTTCAATATCTCAAACGCAGACTTTCGCATCTTTAATTCTGTTTTGCATAACAGGAAAGGGTCAACAGAGAACATCAAATTTCTGCAAACCAGAGAACACCAAACATGTAGAGACTTGAAGTTTGAAAGTCAAATGATTGCAACCGAATCAAACTGAAACACTGTATTCAAGATACTTAGAATTCTCTCTCACAAAATTCTTAGAAATGTTCAGAATATGATAGACAACCTTAGCGTTAATGTAAACATATTATATAGAATATTGCCAACCCACCTATATGCATTAAGATATTCTCTAAATGGTTGAGCAAAAAAACTCTGTAGAGACAATGATGCACCTGTGAAAATAAACACACTGCACATGTATATTACTGGCTGCATAACAATCCTTTGTAGTATTACTGGGCACAGTATTAAGTTATCATGAATAGTTAACATTCAGTAATTTGTTCATGCCAAATTACAATACTAAATGTTTCTTTTGTTAATTACTGTTTATTTTTTATTAGTGTAACATCAATCCAAAACAAAACAAGTCATTGTCAATGACACGTCCCGTTCCGTTCATATTTGAGTGACATATACATTCAAAGCAGATCATGACCGAAATCTCAGACCACTTTCAGTGGTCTGATCCGAAATGCACCTGCATATGTACAACACATTGTACTAAATCTGAACAAAATCCATCCATGCATGACTGAGATCCGGTTCCGGAATTGGGAAAATACGTGATTTTGAAGCATTTTCGGCCTTAAAATGGCCATCATTCTCCTATTGTTAAGCGGATCATGAAACAAATGCACATATCTATTTGTGACATGATGTACCATGTGTGTGTGAGTTTGATCTTGATCAATCCAGACATGTCTCGGATACGAATCCAGAACTGAATTCTTTAAAACAAAATGGCCGCCCGTCGGCCATTTCGAACTAGATCCAAAAAAAAAATATCGTGCATCAAGGTCCTATTATGTTTAATGTATGTACCAAATTTGAACAAAATTCGTCCATGCATAACTGAGATCCGGGTCCGGAATGGTGAAAATGTGCGATTTCAATGCATTTTCGGCCTTAAAGCGGCCGCCATTTGGCTATCGTTAATGAGATCATGAAACAAATGCATATACATATTTGTGACATAATGTACCTTGTGTGTGTGAAGTTTGAACTTGATCAATCCAGGCATGTCTCAGATACGAATCCAGAATTGAATTTTTTAAAACAAAATGGCCGCCAGTCGGCCATTTCAAACCCGATCCCAAAAAAATGACGTGCATCAAGGTCCTATTATGTTTAATGTATGTACCAAATTTAAACAAAATCCGTCCATGCATAACTGAGATCCGAGTCCGGAATGGTGAAAATGTGCGATTTTGATGCATTTTCGGCCTTAAAATGGCCACTATTTGGCTATCGTTAATCGGATCATGAAAAAAATGCATGTGCATATGACCCATATAATGTGTGATGTATGAGTGAAGTCTGAACTTAATCGGTCTATGCATGTTCGAGATACAGGTGATCACGGACGCAAGGACACACGAACGCACACAGGGCAAAACATAAGTCCCCGTTTTCGAACTACGTCTGAACGGGGACTAACAAAGCTTACCTGCATGGATGGCTATAAACATTTACTTTTGGATGCAAATCATTATGCTTACCAATTATTATACACTCTTCTAGACATCCAAAGACATGACCAAGTACCATCAGTTTACCAATCTTGATATCAACGGGCAAGGACGCTAACACTCTACCAACGAACGTCAAATCACCATCATGTGGGTTGAGAATGCCGGACGTTACAGTGGACAGGGCTCCTACCTGTATACAAATCAAGATATCACTGCGCATCTTCACCGGAAATCTTTAAACTATATGATAGTCCTAGCTCAACAGCTACTTGCCATGAATGTTGTTCTTTTTCATAATTTACCAAACCACTTTCAGAAATAACATTCTGATCATCTATACACATTTCAAATGGTATCATGTCTGATAGTGTTCAGAACTGTAAAAACATGTGGTTATTAAACTTTGAGCCAGGAATGTTAAAGTCGTTGATTTGTGGTACATCAAGACTATGATTTTTTTGCAACATGTGATGTTCATCAAAAAACGTTTGTGAGGCTCAGCAATGTTTGGGAAAAAGTGTTGCTGTCATCACCCACCATTCCATCATATTGACATGAAATATAAGTATGGCAGCAGTGCCAATCACCTAATGCAATTTAGTGCTAATTCACCCAACGATCATTCTGTCAGTAAAAGATACAACATGATAGGTCCAGAGATGTCAAGGGATATGGTTTTGAAACTTTATCCCTAAAGTGGTTGACATATAAATTGGATAACAAAGTGAACACACATGCAAATGTATTCAAAGATGTATGATGGAAGTCATAAGTCCCGACAGATGCAGGCACAGGAGTCAAATTATAAGACTAGTTTTCAGACTTTGTCGACAAAGAGGCTAATAAAGTGGCTCACAGTATATAGCATTAGATTACTTACCTCTTTGAGAAGAAGTATGGTACGTTCAATATCATCTAAATTAGGGGGTGTGAGTGCAAGTGCCAATATAGCTTTAGGCTCCCCTAGGTCCAGAATTTTAACTTGTAGTACCAGAAGCTCTAATGGACATCGCTGCAAATAATCAGTGAAACCATTGTAAGCTTATCCACATAAACTCAAGAGCAATCCATGTTTGAACATGGAGATTGAATGAAAAGTTAAAAACAATGATGACATTTTTATTTCAGAAAAGGTAAAATCATGTTTGATGGCAGCGTGATTATAAATATAATAATAGATTAATCAGAAAAGAGTGTTAATTCATATTAGCATTACATAGACACTTACTGCCATTTCAGGTATTCCGTAATCATGAATGTTTCTATCCCAGAAGTCCCTAGTAATCATTCGGTACACCTTTCCAGAGGATACACGGCCAGCGCGTCCTAGACATAAGAACAAAAACATGGTAAATATTACAGATGTCCTTATTTTGTATGCAAAAGTCAATAATTCATACTTCAAGTCGGCATATTGTTTTTAATTCTGTTTATGTTTTTTTATTCCATACAGCAGTGTTTATATTGAGTAATAAATATCGTATCTGTCTAATTCAACATTGAGTGATGAATGCATCAGGGAAACGTAATAACATTTTTTGTTCTGGCATATCAAAATTTGCCTGATGCTTGATCTGACTAACTAAGATGCTATTCGTCGAGTCTAGATGGTTTGAATGGAGGTCATAGTTCATCACATCCCTAGAGTAATGTTATGTGTTCATACTTACCTTTCCTCTGAGTAGCATTTGCCTTGGATGCCCAGCTCAACTGTAGACTTTGGTAGTTAGTCTCTGGATCACACACCAAACACTTTATCAACATGAAGTCAATCACTGAAATCATTCACACTGTTCATGTCATTATTTGTACTCTCGCAATACACGCATACGTTAAATAATATCACATTTCATTTTCCATAACATTATCAAGTTTTATCATGTACATTACATTTCTTTCTGCTCATGGTAATAGAATTATAAGAGATTAAAAGGGTAATATCGAATACATCAAAGAAAATGTTATGCCAACAAGAATACCAGTAAACATAAATCACCATGGAGATAGAACTTTGGGGAAATCAGCAGCAAGGTCACTAAAGTTACATAACAAGCACAAAATAAACATAGTTGAACTCTGGTGACCTTGCCCTTTGTTATATAATATAATTCCATTTATCATAGTTTGTTTCAATATAAATATGTCATAATTAATTTTGAATACAAACAAGTTTTGGGGTTGAACCAACAGTGGGGAATCAGTCTACCGAATGTCCTTTAAAGATGTAAATATCTTACAAAAAAATTGGTGCCTTATTTGTTTAATTATTTTAAGGGACATAATTTCCAGCTTTATTCAAAGTAATTCAGATATTTTAGAATAAAAACAAATGCCTCATCGCAAAATAAAAAGTGCTGCATTTATACGTGACTAGAATCATAAAACATGCAAGATAACAGAAAATCTTAGCTGGCTTTTGTCGAAGTATTTTGTACAGGTGTCTGTCAAAAATTAATGATTCACTGAGACAAATATGAACTTAGGCGAGGGTTCTCCGAACCCACCTATTCACATAGTTCATACCCACCATAGACTCCGGTCAGTCAAAATGACTATTTTCAACTGTAGGCATTAATCAGCGATTCTGCCGGTGACGGAGAGATAGAATCTAGGTCAGGGGAAGCCCCATGACCTCAAGATTCTGTTACCCCTTACGTCACGAACCCACGTGACTGAGGCCACATGGAAACGCCATAGGTAGCCGTCCATCACTCTGGTTCCTTTCTCTTCGCCTCGAGGACTTAGACCAACGCAACGGAAAGAGTGGGGAGGTTGGGGGGGACCCGGA